CTGACATACCAACAAGTAATTGTGACATCCCTATAATGAAATATTGCTTTTGATTTGCAGGATGGACAGGTTCTTATGTCCCACAAGCTAATTATGTTGCTATAAGAACAGCAGGCTTGTTATGTGGCTGCCTTTGAGTGCAGGACAGAGAAGGGGAGGGAGAGATATCCTCTTTTTGTGGGGGGAATATCGTTTCCTGCAAAGAACAAGACTGAGATGTTCTCCTTGTTTTCAATAGGCCTTTTAGCTCTTTCTCTCCTCCTTTTGAAAAGAAGGGAAAACCTAAAGATTCCTGTTGGAATTATTACTATAGCCGGCTGGGGGTAAGTTTGCAAAAGTTCATCGCTAAGAAAATTTATAGGATATCGCAAATTAATTGTATGTATGATTTATACTGTATTTTACATTTTGCAGCATTCCAGTAGTCATTGTTGGAATTCTTCTAGTAGCTGGAAAACACACTGGTGAAATTGACTCAGCATTTTTTTATGGTAAACATCAGGTAGGGAGAATCTCTTATTACCATTTGTTGATCAGTGCTTAATGAGCTTTCAAAAGCTTGTTATTTGATAAAGAGAAGCAGCTTTTCATTTATTAAATTTTCATTAAATTTGTGAAAATGGGAGGTGTTAAATTAATTAACTATATAGCTGCCCCCCAAAATTTGAAGAATCCTAAGAGTCCGGCTTCTCTAGACTATGGCAAAAGAAAGCAAAGGTAGTACCAATAGTCATAGGTGCTTTGGGTTCAATTCCAAAACAACTGGAGCACCATTTGAAACACCAGTGGCATTGACAAATTCCCCATCAGTCAATTGCAAAAGGCAGCTTTACCCGGAACATCTTACAATGGTACCTGCAATGGTACCTCTAACACCCTTAAACATCAACACCTGTCTATCCCAGGTTCTTGGGAAAGGATAGGTGGATAAAAATGCCAAATCCAGTCTGAACATCTGGTGGACTGTGCATTGAATCATAATCATAATAATTTAACTTCTGCCTAACTTCCTCCTTTCGATTCCTCTTTTGCCCAGGTGATCACTACTGCAGTAATCGTAACAATCAGCATATTGTTCTCAGGTGTGTCTCTCATGTGTATGAACCGATCTGGAACAGCAGGGACTAATTATGAGGTTCTAAACCAGCAAATTCAACATCAAGTAGAAGAAACCGAAAGGGAAGCGAATCAACATTATAAATCTTCCCCCAGTGTCTCTCATTCTGAAACAGATTCTACCATCGAAAGAGGTATAATGAACAACTGCAACTTAGTTTTAGGAACAGACTTTAGGAAACCTGACTTGATGATGGTTCTTACCATTGTAGAATAAAAGAAAAACTTAGGTCTCTAATTTGCTGCTCCTGGTTTCGTAATGGGGATGCAGGCACCTTGCCTTGCTACCTGTGAGATGAGGTAGAACAGAGGTGAAATTCAGTAGGTTCTGCCAGGTTCTGGAGAACCGGTAGTGGAAATTTTAAGTAGTTCAGAGAACTGGCAAATACCACCTCTGGCTGGCCCCAAAGTCGGGTAGCAATGGGGATTTTGCACTTTCCTTCCCCTGCCACGCCCACCAAGCTATACTCACAGAACTGGTAGTAAAAAAAAAAAATTGAATTTCACCACTGAGGTTGAGTCCCTCAGTTTAAAATGAGGAATAGAGATCCAAATAGGAATGGACATCTCAAAATTGAGATTGAGTAAATTATGTGATCGAAGAAGCATATGGTAGGATTAGGGTTAAGATGGCCCTCCAGATTAGGGCTATGATTAAGGCCTGACCCAAAAGAGGAACGGGCTTCAAAGCACTTGTAGCTTCTGTTTCCATCTGTTTAAACCAAACGTAGCAAGCTGTGATAGCCATCTGTGCAACCTCAGGAAAATACACAGCTGCTCGAAGAAATTGCAACAGCCTGAGCACTCTTACGTGCTCTGGAACACTTTTTTTCCGTTGAATCCATAGTGATCTACATCTCTAGCCGGCAGTGAAGAGATATTAATCATTGTATTTTAACCACACCTGCTGCGTAATGGGTTTCGCAGTTTTACTGTGTGAGAGTTGGGAGTTCAGTACCTTTTCTAGCAATCCTCAGTATGGAGAAAGGCCAGCTAGGGATGATGAAAAAGAATGTGATGTATGTTTACCTATGGATATTTTTTGAATGTATTAAAAAAAATGTATAGGCATATCTCCTAACCATTGCCCAAGTCCATTGCACATTCAACTGTGGTTATTTTCTTTTTTAAAAGCCTAAAGAAATATATACGTATATATATCTGTGTGTGTGTGTGTATTTCCTTGTAGAGAACCTAGTAGATTTCTACACATGTCAAAAACAAAATGGAGAATTATGCTGCTCAGAAGAAGAATCCGCATCTACTGCTGGACTCAGTGAGAACTGTTCTTTCTCAGTTGAGACAGGTAAAGTATCTTGTATGGAGTAAAATTCAAAAGTTTACCAATTATGCAACGCTGTATCTTAACCAAGAGAGTTCTTTATGCAGCTTGTATACTTTGCTGCAAGTTGCATTTTTTCACCTTTTATCCTTTGTATAACTGAGCTTTGTTTATAAATGAATCATTATGATTAATATACCGAGGTGGTGCAGTACTGCAGGCTAATTCAGCTGACTGCTAGCTGCAGTTCGGCAGGTTCATATCTCTCCGGCTCAAGGTTGACTCACCCTTCCATCCTTCCGATGTGGGTAAAATGAGGACCCAGATTGTTGGGGGCAGTAGGCTGACTCTAAAGCGCTTAGAGCGGGCCCTAAAAGCACTGTGAAGCGGTATATAAGTCTAAGTGCTATTGCTATACAGATAATCCTCAACTATCATTGAAACAGAACCTACTCATTATGGTCATAAGTCATGATAGTTTAAAAGCACATCTCCTGCATGACTGAACCAATTTTATGACCTGGGGGGGGGGGCAGTCTTAAGCACATCCACAGTCATTAAGCAAATGCTATGGTGCAGTTTTGCCAAAAACTGAAAGTAAATGCCAGTTTTCAGCAAAAACATGGAACATCACAGTCATGTAATCGCTGGACACTGCAAAGAATCATAAATGAAGGATGTTTCCAAGTGCCAAAAATGTACTTATATGACCAAACAGAGTGGACGGCTATCAGAATTCTGGAACCGGATTGTAAGAACCTTTTGGATGCCCTGTTGTAACTTTGAATTGTCACTAAGCAGGCAGTCATAAGTCAAGGACTACCTATATAAACAAAGTAAGGGAAAATCTATGGCTTCCAGAATTCTTTCTGATTCAGAAGGCAGAGACCAGAGAACTCGGAATGCATAAAATGGTAAAATTCAGAGCCTTGGCTCATTGAGACTCCCTCTAGGGATAGCCTGGGGCAGTGTTTTTCAACCTTTTTGTGCAAAGGCACACTTTTTTCATGAAAAAAATCACGAGGCACACCACCATTAGAAAATGTTAAAAAAATTTAACTCTGTGCCTATATTGACTATATATAAAGTGTTTTTCCCACGGCACACCTTACACTATGTCACGGCACACTAGTGTGCCGCGGCACAGTGGTTGAAAAACACTGGCCTGGGGAATATTTTTCAGGATTTTCCCCACCACAGTTATCTTGGACCCAGCCTATTTTTAATCCTAATCTTTATTTTGCTGCCTTTCATGCACCATTTTGGAGGATTCACCTCCAAAACCAATGGGGTCATGAACACTTTACGTAATTTCTTTCCTACATTCCATGTTATGTTGTTATGTGATGTTCAATGTTGTTATATATATATGGTATTTATATAAGTAAAAGGTAACCATTAAAATACACAAAGAAAAATGTAGAAGTTCAAGGAACAATACAGTTAGAAAAAGAAAAAAAGGAAAAATCTATAAAATAAGTGAGTTCCAATCTTATTCACAGCACTTATATATAAACGTATTATCTCTCCCCCCTCTTTAAGATTTACATCATTCCTTCTTCCCATATTCAACCTTTTTTGACCACCAAATGCATAAATTGTCAGTATATTTGCTTCCATTTTTAATAAAAAGGTCCATAAGTGGTTTCTAGTTTTTTATGACAGCACATTGTTTTATCCCTTATCAAACAGGTCAATTTTGAAATTTTGGTAAATTTCACCACTTTCATAATTTCCCTTAATTTCTTACATCACCAAGGAACAGGAATATTGCATCAGTAAGATTCTAGATGCCATGTAGACATCATTTCTAATGTTATTGCATAATAAATTGACATTTAGAGAGAAATCAAGAGGCACACCTGCTACCTGTATATACCTGTCTTTATATTCATATTCAAAAGGGCTTTGTTTCAGTTTGGTAACCTTATCTGTTTTTTCAGCACGTGTGTTCCCTCCTAGAATTTTCATACTGCTTTTTTAAAAATGTCTTGACAGTTAAAACAATACCAGATGTATCAATCAGATAAAGCTTCCAACAACAAAAATTATGAACAGGAAAAATACACCTATAACATATTTACCTCCTTTAAAGAACACATGCAAAAATACGTTGGGGCCAATAAAATAAATGTTTAATAGATAGCAATAGCAGTTAGACTTATATACCGCTTCATAGGGCTTTCAGCCCTCTCTAAATGGTTTACAGAGTCAGCATATC